GAAGGGGGGGAAGGGTGGGGCCGTTTTGTCACAAAATTGGGGAGCCCCCCCACCACCCCCGACCCCCCCCACCCCGGGTCTCACCTCCACCTGCGGGTGCTCCTCAGAGGTTTTGGGGGGTCGCTGTCGGCGGGGGGAGGGGGCTTGGGCCGGGGGGGCCGGGAGGGACCCACGGAGAACACGGTGGGGACGGCGCCTTCCTTCAGGCGGTGGTAGCCACTGGCGACGGGAAACGGGGGGGTCAGGGGCACCCCAAAAACTGGGAGGAGACCCCAAAACCTGGGGGGTCCCCAAAACCTGGAGAGGAACCCCAAAACCTGGGGAGGGGCTCTGGGGGGACCCCAAAACTGGGGGGAGACCCCAAAACCTGGGGGGGACCCTAAAACCTGGGGAGGGGCTCTGGGGGGACCCCAAAACCTGGGGGGTCCCCAAAACCTGGAGAGGAACCCCAAAACCTGGGGAGGGGCTCTGGGGGGACCCCAAAAGCTGGGGAGAGGACCCCAAAACCTGGGGGGGACCCCAAAACTGGGGGAGACCCCAAAACTGGGGGGCCTCAGGAGGGACTCCTAAACTTGGGGGGGAATCCCAATACCTGGAGAAGGACCCCAAAACCGGGGGGAACCCCAAAACCTGGGAGGGACCTCAAAACCTGGGGGGGCTCAGGGGGGACCCCAAAACCTGCGAGGGGACCCCAAAATTGGGAGGGGGACCCCAAAACCTGCGGGCACCCCCCCAGCCAGGGGGGCTTGGGGTGCGGCCACCCAAAATCCTGGGGGGGGGGGCCCCCAAGATCCAGGGCCACCTGGAGTACCTGGGGGGGCACCTGGAATACCTGGGGGGATCCCTCATCTGCAGCCCCCCAAACTCACCTGTAGGGCCCCAGGGCTCACCTGTACCACCCAGGACACACCCGTACAAAGCTGAAGCCTCCAGGACACACCTGTACACATCTGTACACACACCTGTACTCACCTGTATTCACCTGTACTCACCTGTACACACACCTGCTCACAACTGTACTCACCTGTACACCCCTGTACTCACCTGTACACATACCTGTACACACCTGCACATACACCTGTACTCACCTGTATTCACCTGTATTCACCTGTACTCACCTGTACACACACCTGTACACACACCTGCTCACATCTGTACTCACCTGTACACGTACTTGTACACACACCTGTACACACACCTATACAGACCTGTACACACACCTGTACTCACCTGTACACACACCTGTACACACACACCCTGTACTCACCTGTATTCACCTGTACACATCTGTACACACACCTGTACGCACACATGTACTCACCTGTACACACACCTGTACTCACACCTGCTCACATCTGTACTTACCTGTACACCCCTGTACTCACCTGTACACACACCTGTACTCACCTGTACATACACCTGTACTCACCTGTACACGCCTGTTCACACCTGCACTAACCTGTACACACCTGTACACACACCTGTACGCACCTGTTCACATCTGTACTCACCTGTACACACCTGTACACACACCTGTACCCACACCTGTACACTCACCTGTAGCCCACGAGCTCGAAGCAGGACTGTTCAAAGTGCTGGGAACAGAAGTAGATGTACTTGGAGCTGGGGTCCCACCCCCCCCGGACACACCTGGACACACACCTGTACACACCTGGACACACCTGTACACTCACCTGTAGCCCACGAGCTCGTAGCAGGAGCTCTCGAAGTGCTGGGAACAGAAGTAGATGTACTTGGAGCTGGGGTCCCACCCCCCAGGACACACCTGGACACACACCTGGACACACCTGTACACACCTGTACACTCACCTGTAGCCCACGAGCTCGAAGCAGGACTGTTCGAAGTGCTGGGAACAGAAGTAGATGTACTTGGAGCTGGGGTCCCAGCGCCCCCCGCCCGCCGGGTCCCGTCTCCGGCTGTTCTCCAACCACTGAGCTCGGCGAGGATCGTCCCGGCGCGGCAGCCTGGCACAGCGACACCGCGACAGCGACACCGGGACACGGGGACAGCGACACCGGGACACCGGGACAGCGACACCGGGACACCGGGACAGCGACACCGGGACACGGGGACAGCGACACCGGGACACGGGGACAGCGACACCGGGACAGCGACACCGGGACACCGGGACAGCGACACCGGGACACGGGGACAGCGACACCGGGACAGCGACACCGGGACACCGGGACAGCGACACCGGGACAGCGACACCGGGACAGCGACACCGGGACACGGGGACAGCGGGACACGGGGACACCGGGACAGCGACACCGGGACACGGGGACACAGCCACAGCGACACCGGGACACGGGGACAGCGACACCGGGACAGCGACACCGGGACAGTGACACCGGGACACCGGGACACGGGGACACCGGGACAGCGACACCGGGACACCGGGACACAGCCACAGCGACACCGGGACAGCGGGACAGTGACACCGGGACATTGGGCACAGCGACACCGGGACACGGGGACACGGGGACAGCGACACCGGGACACGGGGACACGGGGACAGCGACACCGGGACATGCGACAGCGACACCGGGACATTGGGGACAGCCACAGCGACACCGGGACACGCGACAGGGACACGGGGACACGGGGACAGCGACACGGGGACACGGGGACAGCGACACCGGGACATTGGGGACACGGACAGCGACACGGACAGCGACACGGGGACATTGGAGACAGCGACATGGGGACATTGGGGACAGGGACAGCGACAGAGATATGGGACAGCGACATGGGGACAGGGACACAGATATGGGGACAGAGACAGGGACATGGGACAGGGACACAGGTAAAGCAACAGGGACATGGGGACAAGGGACACCAAGACAGGGACAGGGACACAGGGACACAGGAGGACACAGGGACACCAGGACAGGGACACAGTGAGGACACAGGTTGGAATACACAGGTCACACAAACGGTACAGGTGGCACACGTGACAGAGTTCACAAAGGTGACACAGGTGACAGTCACAAAGGTGACACAGGTGAGCCACAAGGTCGCACTTCCCCTTGCCTCCATCCCCAACCCCTGCAGGGCTCAATGACACCTTCCTCCCCCCACACAGCTGGAAATGGAACAGTCCAGCCGGGCCCCGGTAAAGGGGAACAGGGCTGAGCCATTCCTCAAATGGGGGGGGGGGACACACACACACACACACACCTGGGACAGCCCATTGCTGGGGGGGGGGACACACCTGGGAAAAGCCATTGCTAGGACAGGTGACACCGGTGCTAGCCTGTTGCTAGGGGAGGTGACACCTGTGACAGCCCGTTGCTAAGGGGGTGACACCTGGGACGGTCCATTGCTGGGGGGGGTGGGGGGTGACCCCGGTGCCAGCCCATTGCTAGGGCAGGTGACACCTGGGACAGCTCATTGCTTAGGGCAGGTGACACCTGTGCCACCCCGCAGCTGAGGGGGGTGACACCTGTGACAGCCCGTTGCTAGGGGAGGTGACACACCGGTGCCATCCCGTTGCTAAGGGCTTCCTGGGCACAGGTGTGGCTCCAGCTCGGAGGTGTCCCCGGTGTCCCGGGTGTGTCCCCACTGCCCCAGGTGGGTCCCCGGTGTCCCGGGGGTGTCCCCGGTGTCCCGGGGGTGTCCCCGCTGTCCCTCACCGGTGGAAGGAGATGCCTCTGCCGCGGGTGTCGCGGGTGTCGCGGGTGCAGCAGCCGGCGGCGGAGCAGTGCCGGGGCATCTGCGGGGGGGGGGCGGCGTCACCGAGCCGGCCCGGCCCCGACCCCAGCCCCGATCCCCGATCCCATTCCCAATTCCCGACCCCAGCCCCGATCCCCGATCCCATTCCCGATCCCATTCCCAATCCCATT